GCAGCCTGTTTTCTCTCCACTGCGACACGGCACTCGTACCAACTGCTCTTTTGCACTTTCCGAAAACCAATGGTTTCGTCCCACAGTTCCCTTATACCGAGTTGTTGACGAGTGCTCTCAGAGAGCAGGAGTGCAAGCCGAGTAGAAAATCGTTCAGCTGTCTGTTGTAATAGCAGCTTCTCGACGTCGAACATTCCTTATGTTTGATGGCGTGCATTTTTTGCTGCACAGAGGCGGGTGCGAATCTTGGCTGCAACAAGATAGTGRTTCGAGTCGATTTTAGGACCTCGGAGCGCACGCACATCTAAAACACTGGAGACGTGTCTTCTTTTACCGACCGTAGTGCCGTAGTGCCAAAGATACCTTCTTTGCCCACCCTGGCGTTAAAGTCACCAAGCACGATTTTGACATCGTGGCGGGGGCAGCTCTCATAAGTGCGTKGCGTTGCACTCAAAAAAGGCATCTTTGGTCACATCGTCTTTCTCTTCCACCAGGGCGTGGTCGCAAATCAGCGATATGTTGAAGAACCTCACTTTGATGCTCATTGTGGCTAGACGTTCATTCACCGGAGTGAATGATAGTACTCGGCGACGGAGTCGCTCTCCCACCRTGAATCCCTCACCAAACTTGCGCTCCTTTATATGGCCACTGTAGTAAATGCGACAAGGACCTACTCGTCTCTGCCCTTGTCCCGTCCATCGCATTTCTTGGACGGCGGTGATGTCAGCCTTTATTTTCACGAGGACATCAACCAGCTGGGCAGCGGCACTTTCCCAATTAAGGGCGCATTTTAAGCTTTAGCATTAATTTGTTTTTTTTTTATTTGTGTAGAAAAAAAAATTTCATATGTTAAATTTAATGTCAAATATGTATATATTGAAATGGAAAGAAAAAAACCACAAAATTTATTAATTTTGAAACAAATAAACGTGTCGTAATTTAATAAAACTAGGTGTATGTAAACTTTATAGGTCTACTGTATGTATGAATACAATCAAGATTGTTCTTCTAATTCTAATTCTTATTTATTTTCTTTACAGTTCCACGCAGTAAATAACCTTACCAGKGCAGTATTACCGTTGGCGATATCTTTCTAGAGACACTAATATGGGGTACTATTTCACCAGTTCCTTTGTAAACGAGGAGGTGGGAATTAACCCGATTTGCGGACATTTCATACAAAAAAGGAAATGATAAGACGCATTGCTTATCGCTAGTAAATTAAGTAGATGTGGTTTCCTAATAAACACTTATTTCACCAGCTTCGAACTACCGCTAGTACTGCAAGGTAGCCAGCACTTATAATTCTGACTAAGCTGCATTCATATTACCCTTATTTGCACTGAAAAGCAAAACTGGAACAATAATTACTTAAATGAACTTTGATGCACTGCATTGTATACATGGATTATTTGTTTTATCGAAAAAAATGGAAAGTATGGAAAAACTACATGTTTCCAATTTTGTGCCCACTAAGTAAACTTTGAAATTTAGTATTCGAATCGAAATTTCACACAAAAGTTTTCAATTCTTTCTTGTAATACAGTCAAATGTGCTTCAAATACGGGGTGTATGGGAAGAAATTAAACAAAAAGTTGAAATTTATTTAACTGCTGGGCAATCTGCTCGCGATACTGACAAGAAGCTTAAAATCTGCCACATAACGGTTTTGCGACTGGAAAAAGGAGCAACCTGGTAAGGCCAATATGTAACAAGGGTTTGAGACCCAAAAAAATTCAAATTCAAGAATCTAAACGTTAGACCAAAATTTACATCCAATAAATTAACTATCAGAAAGCAAGGATTACCACTTTTAACGCAAAATGTTAGCGTATGGGCATTGCTTGGGAAGAATTTTTAAAGRTTTGGTTGTATTACGCAGTATAAAGTAGGTCCAATCGTAAAAATCGATGACAAAAAATGGCAATATCTGGACATTTTAAAATAAAATTCACCAATTGGATTATATTCCCACATACCAATGATCTAAACACTCTTCGAAATTAGTGCAAAATTGGTTAAAATTGCAATATTTTTAAACAATGAAGCAACTTGCGCAAAGCCCAGACATGAACCACATAGAGAACTTATAGAGTTTTGGAAACCGTAACTGGCAAATTACCCAAACTCACTAAAAAGCATAAGGAACGGTTTCCTCAGATTCTAGTTTTGCTCTTCAGTGTATTTCTCTGTAAGTTGCCAAACATTAAACATTTGGACAACCTGAGGTACTTAATGCTACGGAACCTATAACCAAGTTGCAAATTTATCCAAATCTATTAAAACCAAAACTTTAAGCAAATTCGATTTTATTATTTTATTTATCTTAGGAATTCTTGCGTAGGTCTGAACATTGCTGTCAATTACTTTAAAAGTGATTCAGAAATAAATGGTGCTGTTATCTGAGTTTAAATTATGCTGAGATCAGCACACGTAATACAAAATCTTGATATAGTAACCAAAGCTAGTAGAACGTCACTTGTATACCGATATTATCGATATTGATATTATTACAYATAGTATTAGTTTCTAAAACTATTTCTCACCATCATACTATTAAAAAACAACTAATAAAATTCGTCGCATTAATAGAAATGGTTTCTGAAAAGATTCAAGTTCCTTTCAACGACTTTTATCATGAAAGAAAAAACTTGTATAAGAAGTTTAGTATTTATTTTTAAAATAAGTAAACCGTTAAATTAGTATATAAAAATGCGTATATTACTGATATTTTTGAATACTTATTGTATACATGTGTATGTATTTAACATACAATACTTTCCAATTAGATTATGCTTATAAAGATAACCTTAAAATTGTCTACCATAAATTCATATTCTTATTATTGACATACAAGTATTAATCTTTATATTAATGAAATCATTCTAACAACTATACACATTTTGGGTCCTAACATATTTTGTGTTAAAATACCTATTTAAAGGCACAAATATTTTTGCACTTTTCAGCATATTGCAAACATATGGATGTAATATTGTATGTGTAATAATATTTTGTTATTTACAAATACACTCTGTTTTCTGTAACTACTAAATATTTGCGGATACTGATTATTGGTGGATTAATTTCAATATAATGACTCTTATAAATAAATATGATATTTACGTCTTAAACTAAATAAAAAATTTGATATTCTAGAAATGATCCACTTTCACTGAGACTGTATGAGCAGCTGCGTTGCTTGGTAAGTCGATATTGTCCCACTCCGTATGTAAGTTTTTCTCGCTATCGGTCGCTTTCAACGCCAATCCCAATGATGCTGTTCTGCCCGCACAATGTGGAATATTAAGTGTTACTGGCACAAGAAATTCGAGCCCTTGTGGACCACACATTACTAARGGAGATAACATTGTTTCACCTACGAATAAATATTAAATGTAAGTCAGATTGATGATATACTTATGCGTACTATTTATTTTTGACAATTTGTATTATTAAAGCTTTGATTTACATATGTATATACAGTGTGCTAAAAAAAATTTACATACATACATATGCTTTTGATTAACAACTTCAAAGACGTACAATATGTAGGTCCATATTAATTGGCTAATACTAAAAAACAATGCTAATGGCATAAAATTAATTAGAAATAAGTAATCTGCAATTATCGTGTCCCTATGTGAGAATACATAAATTAGTGCAGATCATAAAAATATAATTATCTCATTATATAAAACGAAATTTTTAATTGAAAGGCCATTCTTTGCCGACATTTCCAAACCGAATCATTCATAACACAAGAATTGGAAACAATTTCACAAAACATGTGCGAAAAGATTTAATTTCTACTGAACTGAATCAAATAATTTACAATATTGTTTAGTACTATTCTTTTCTAAATTAATTCTGTCCTAATAATAGTTCCATGTCGACAAATATTCGTATGTGTATCTGCTTATAAATATACTTCGTTTTTCATGGACGTTACTACGTATAATAATATCATTTTTATATACATAGCAATACAAAAAGGAAAACAACAGGAGTTATAGGGCCAAATTCATGTATGTTGCAAACTTTGCAAAGGCTGCGGCGGATTGAATGGGAATTTTCGCTTGCGGAATTCAATTAATTCCGTAAATTACGTTTCAAATTAATAACTAAATATTAAATATTTTATTATAAATAATATTATTCTGTTTCAAAATTGTCATCTACGAAAGAAATAATGCTTACATGCATTTGGTTTTTAGCAAATATAGTCTATAATAATACTCTGTTTTGTTTACCTAACGTATCACCTAAAATTRAGCGAGATAGATATAGCGTTATATATATGTATAAAATAGATCAGGATGTCAAGAAAAGTTGAAATTGACAGTATGTTTGTCTGTCCGTCMGTGCAAGCTGTAACTTGAGGTGACCACAAATTGCCATTAACCTAAAATATAAAAAGGGCCATTATTAAGTCCYAAATTAAGATATAAAGCTGTAATAYTGATACATTGGTTCGCAGTGACAATGGTCATCTTGGTAAAATTTGTTTGAAAATGTGGTCGTGGCACCCTTCTCTTAAGGGGGTATTCTGGTTTAGAAATTCGGAAAAATCGATTTTTTTTTTTTGCATTTATTTATAGTTATTTTCCGAGTTATAGCTCATTTTGTGACGCGCTGACAAAACCGCAGCCGGTGACAATTTTAAAATCGTCTTTCTCATAACTACTTTTCTARAAACGGTGTGCATGATATCTCAAGTTCTGCTCAACCGATTCACATAAAATTTTACACAGAGCTTTCTTATACATTATAGTATCGCACTATGAAGAGCTTTCGAAAGATTTTTTTTAAATTAAAAAACAGGAAAAATTCGAAACTTCTTTTGCAAACCTGAACCATTTTGTAACACAATTTTTTTTATCAAAAACATTTCGAAGTGCGATAACAACACTTTTATCATTCCAGATTTCGCATAAATTTTTATTTTAGGTCACGAAAAGGATTTATATAATGCACACCAGGCCATTGTTTCATCAGTCTCTATTTTGTATTCTTAGAATATCAATAAAAAGTATATAAAAAATTAATAGTCAAAATAATTTTTGATTTTTTTTATAGCGTCAAAAAAAAATTACCTAAAATTCGGGCTTCTAAACCAGAATACTCCCATAAGCTACAAGAATCAAATTTGCTAAATACAAATCTTATAAGAGCTTCTACCGAAAGTGCGAAAATCTATGAAATTGGAGGATAACCCTGACCAACAGTGCTGTTAAAAACAACTAGAAAGCTTTATAGGAGCCTGTGGAAGATTCAAGAAGTAATTAATTAACGGGTTAGAACTTTGCACGAATAATGACTTTAGTGTGTGCCATCTTATGACCAAAAATTGTTTAAATCCAAAAAAATGTTCAAGCCCCTAGGTGCCGAATATTTAGACCCCGGTAACTATAGTTATCCTTTGATCGAAAATGTCGGTAAATTTGTGATATATTAGGTTGTCAAAAAAGTCTTGCGGTATTTTTGCGGTATTTTTATTGAATTTTCCATTGTTCATAAAATTTTGATGACTCATGCCCAGCTCTTGACCGATGCTAGGGCTGCTACTATGCCGGTCTCTTTCGACCAATTCAGCGATTTTATCGCAATTTTCGACGACAGGCCTTCCGGAACTTGGCGCATCTTCGACCACCTCTACACCAGAACGAAAACGTTGAAACCATCGTTGTGCGGGGGAAATGGAAACTGTATCGGGTCCATAAACTGCACACATTTTATTGGCGGCTTGAGATGCACTTTTGTCTTTATCGTATTAGTACTGTAAAATATGCCGCATTTTCTCTTTATTTTGCTCCATGTTTGCGACGATATAACTTACGAACGACTTAAAAGAAACGACAATCAATCAAACAGGCGYGTGAACTGAGCTTTCCAAAAAGGTATAGCATGACCCGATGCGACGAATAAAACTAGAACTACGCGCTCTCAGCGCCAACTAGCGAAAATACCGCAATACCGTAATATATAACTGAAATTAAGGGATAATCCTTTCTCTTACAATAGCATCACTCTTTATGATTACTTTTACACCTTAAAGTATTTTCTTGGCTTTGATTCTTGCAGGTTGCAAGAGTTAAAATGTTCGCTTGAACCCGAATTTAGCCCTTACTTGTTTTTAATTGCTATTTTCAGTGTATATTTACTTATAATTTTCTGGTGTTATTTTATTAATAATTAAATGAATATAATACACATGCATATATATACATATATATGTTATTATTTACAAATATTATCTATTACCAACTGCATGCAGGAAAGTGTAGTAATGCGAAATKGTGCGAGAGAGTTATACAAGAAGCAGTAAATAAAATAGGTCGTGTCGCAAACGTACAGTGAATTTTTGTTATTTCTATTACACCTAAAAAGTATTGTATTCATTTATGTATGTATGTGATGAAACAAACCGTTTTCCATATCCAGTGGAGGTCCACCAACGGCTTCTCCCAACCTTGGATCACTAACTGTGAAATATATTTCTTGTCTCACGCCAGTTTGGATGGCGCCCGGTGGTATCTGGAGAGAAACATTCCAAACAGCGTCTGCTAGCRTTCCTCCACTCGAATCAAAGATTCCACGTGTGGTACTCGGCTCACGTGGGATAGATGGAAATGCATCTGTAGATGATGTAGCTGCAATAGGTGGAGCTGTTGTAGGTAGAGGCCCAGCTATCGGTAACGATATGTTACTAGTATAAGGTGTACTACTTGCTTTTGGTGGGCCTACAGGTAAACTTGCTTGTGATGTGTATTGTGTTTCTAAAGACGTACGACTGTCTGCCATAGCTGCGTTAGGTGGAGGTCCTGTGCGTTTTAAAATATTTGAAATATGAAATGGTACACGTGGTGGACGAGTGTTTATACATTTAGTTGGTTGTGGTGGCTCTAAAGCTTTTATTGGTGGCCCCTCTACAACCAAAGGAAATTTTTCAAATACTTCGTCTAAGAGCTCACGAGACTCGTTACTTGATGTTTGCATTATTGCATCGCTTTCTTTTAATTCGTTGYTGGGAATTTTGCACAATGTTGCCTCGTCGTTATCTGTGCCATCTAAATCATCATCTATATCCTCACTCTGAACAAGAGGGGCTTTAGTTTCTGGAGGATCGGGCGATTTTGCTAATGTATTTTCGATTATTGTGTCTGAGGATTTCTGTAGGTCTGATCGACTTAAGGCTTCGTTCATCTGATTTCCTTCAGAATTTGCACAATCAGTATACTCTTCTTTCTTCTCATCAGTCTCATTTTCACGTGAATGCAAAATACCTTCTTCCTTAGTTTCATATATAGGCTCTGGACGAACAGTCTCCTTTTTTCTGGAAACATATATTGGTTCAGCCATGCTATCTAATGCTTCCCGACGAGTTTGGTAAATTTGATCCCTTAACTGAGCACGTGTTTTCAAAGCACTGTCTTTGACTTCCCGTTTACTTTGGTAAATTGATTCACGTTCGGATTTGTCATCACGCTCTGATTGACTACTACTATGTGAACTGCAACCTTGCTCTCTATTCCTTCCTTGAATCTCTTTTTTAAATTCATTGGGTGGACTTCGTCGGATGCCGCGTGGCAGATCCCTGTGGTATTGATAAGTTGGTTCCACCATTTCGTTCACGGTCGAACTATAAAAATGTCTGCGTGTCATAAGTTCTGAATTTGGAGCTCTACGTTGATTTGGTGGATTAAAAGCATCCATTTTACTTTTATATACGCCCGGGTCATAGCCTGACACAATGGAAGAATCAATAACTGGTATTTTACGACCAATGTGGTCGGCTGTCGTGGTACTATGCCGTCGTATTATTTTCCGACCGTTTCGATTAGCAGCCGCTATTGCCTCAGCMTGTCGGCGTTCCAAATCAATAAAAGCTCTATTTGCATATAAATCTTCATGTTCAGAAGTTGCATACTCTTCTGTCGAGCCTCTATGCTTTCGAGGAACCGTACCCATATTTCCATATATATCTTCACTTTCTAAATTTTGATATGTACTATTTATTAAGTCATGATGATAATGACCGTCGTATTGTTGTCTAAAATACTGTTCTCTTGGCATCAACTTATGGGAAGCCATGCCACTTCTCTGCGATCCATGGGAATATCGATCCTCAAATCCAGCTGGATATGTGGGGTATTCATCTGGGTAGTAGGGTCTTTGCATACCATGTTCAAGCATTGAATGCTGTCTTTTAATCGATGACTTCGGTCTCCGTTCTGGTTCAACCATACTGTTCATACGCCTTAGAGGCTTTGTTGTTTTAATAAAAGCGTTTTTAATAGCCACCAAAGGACTTTTCAATACTGATTTCTTCTTCGTTTTGTGCGGTGGTAAAGGTGGCGGCATTATATTTTCTAAGTAAGACTTTTGAGGCATTTGATAAGTGTAATAATCAGCATTATGATTTGGAGACGGTTGAGGTGCAGCTATTTGACCTGGATAACTGGAGATTGAACGTGAACATGGATGACCTGGTGGCGGGGGAGGTGGTGACATCGCATAATAACCCTCAAATCTTTCTTCATATGGCTCCATTTCGCTAAAGATGTTATTGAGTGAATCGAAAATTGAGAAATGAATTCAAGAGAAAAGGGCTTTCTGACCGGTTTCATACATACACGTAAATAAAAATGTTCTATGATATATTAAAACCTGATTTGACGAGAAAATTAAATTTGTGAGAATTCTTTTTCATTTAGTTTATAAGACTGTGTATAGTTTTTACTTGGTTCTACTGAGAAACAACATATACTATACAATTTAATCGTAATGAACTTATTCAAATGCGATTAATTAAGAATGGAATTACTTTTCGTAAAATTTCGATTTAATTGATTAAAAAAGATTGATAACTTCTTGTAGTACTTTTTTGGACTTTGGATTGGGGCATGCGTTTTTTACAAAACTACCTCTCATTTTAAACTTTGGCGCCTTGTTATAAGGAAATACTTGTTAGATATAACTAGAAGAGCAATGAACGAGTATATCCGCTTATGTATGTGTAATGAATACAGTAATAAAAAAATTGGATACACAAAATGTATTATGAAAAGTTTGAGAAGATGAAGTAAATAGATTACAGGAAGAAAGTAGAGATTGATAGCAGAGGTGGTAATCCTTATTTCTTATTTTTAAATGTGATTTTGTTATTGCCCTTATCATATTACAAATCTCCAAAGTCTCAAAAAATACCAATTACACACTCTATTAACTGGTTCTTACGATTTAATGTCCTGAATTTGTATGTGTGCTTCTTTTTTCTTATTTAATTATTTTCAAATTCTTTTCGTATTAATATATTTTTGTGAATACTTCGGTTATATTTGTTTTATTTTTGTAAAAAATATTCCAACTCTTTATTTTGCAATACCAATCGGAGTTATTTTCATTTATAACTTGCACCAAAAAATTATTTAAACACAAATATRTATAGAAAATCTAAGGGGTGGAAATGGATTTCGAAAATGTTATTTAAGGGTTAGTTTTGTACCATATATTAATATATGTAAACGTATTCTTAAGTAGAAGTAGATTTAAACTATTAACTATGTGAATGCATTATTACCCACAACCCACCTCAACTAATTATAAATACTAAGAACAAGTAAATTTAGGAATTTACGCAATGCATATTTTCCTTTTCTAAGGGTTTAATATGCAGTGAAAATGTTATCCCGAAAAATGTTTTATTTTCGTTTCTTTGGTTTTGCAAAATAAAGGTGATATCTTGTAAAAAATTATTATTTTTATCTCTGCAATATTTATGAAATGTTTGCTTTGCACATAATAAATTTTGATTAGCATTAACCGGAACAAATCACAACTATATTTTGTATATAAACAAAAATAAAAACATTTTTCGTTAACACACATCCTTGAAAGCAGTGATATAAATATGGAAAATATAAATAAATTGCTGAACTTTGAATTAACTTATGGATAATTGATTAATTGTTCAGAGCAATAACTACGTTTTCCATTTATGGAATTTGTATGTATATATATGTCAGCAATGTAAGTGTGTTATGCGCGATCATTACCTCATGTTGTGATGGTGCGCTGTTGTGCCAATTTGAGGTTTGCGGTATAATTCAAATGCGGATCCGCGCTGCTCTCGACTACCAGCCAAATCTAATGGGTTTCGTTCAGGTGGATGAGAGGGAATATTTCCTTAAGTAAAGATACATTTACAATTAACAGGACGATCAATATAACTATATAATAATAAAATTAATCCTGGGTAAATGGATTTAATGCAATACAAATGCACCACATAAATATTAGGTTGTCCAAAAAGTCTTGCGGTATTTTCGCTGGTTTCCGCTGAGAGCGCGTAGTTCTAGTTTTATTCGTCGCATCGGGTCATGCTATACCTTTTTGGAAAGCTCATTTCACGCGTTAACACCTGTTTGATTGATTGTCGTTTCTTTWAAGTCGTTCGTGAGTTATAGCGTCGCCAGCATGGAGCAAAATAAAGAGAAAATACGGCATATTTTACAGTACCAATAAAATTTGTGCAGTTTATGGACCCGTTACAGTTTCCATTTCCCCCGCACAACGATGGTTTCAACGTTTTCGTTCTGGTGTAGAGGTGGTCGAAGATGCGCAACGTTCCGGAAGGCCTGTCGTCGAAAATTGCGATAAAATTGCTGAACTGGTCGAAAGAGAATGGCATCAAGAGCTGGGCATGAGTCATCAAAAAAATTGTATGAACAATTGAAAATTCAATAATAATACCGCAAAAATACCGCAAGACTTTTTTTGACAACCTAATATAAGCGTAATTAGAGGAGGCAGAATAAACTTATTTCCAACTATACTACATATRTATTTTATGTATATATGTATATTCAGTTATTCCATATCAGAACTGTACGATAGATATTTAATTGAATCTAATTTTTATACACTAATGCTTTGGTTAGCAGTTAACTTACCAATTGAACCTGGCATGCCCCGATGGGGAGCAATATAAGGCCCTGTACCACTGCCGCCGTTGTAGTGGTGGTTACCAACATATCCGTTGACTGGAGGAGCAGGATATTGTGACTGTTGGACGAAATTGCCACCGCTGCTATATGTTGATTGCATGCAGTTGTTATTATTATTGCCAGGGCCTGGTGAGCCAGGTGTTTGCTGGGAGTAATGATGATGAGAAGCTGCCAAGGATGAATAAAAAAATCCATTTGGTGAACGCGGAGAGCTCGAGTCCTAACAATGAATATTTTCTTTAAATAAATACATACATTTCAGAAAAGTATTTTTCAACTTACCCCACTTTCCCACTGACCTGTGCTGTTACCTCCTTGCATTGGTGGGCGATAGTTTTTGGGTTTGGGTGGGGGAACTGGTTTAAATGGGCCAGTACCATTTATCGATGATCCATTACTAGCGTTATTATTTATATTCGATGTCGGTAAAATCAAATGTGGATTTTTCGGCAATTTGTTGTAATCAGCTTGCGTCACGGAGTTATTGCGGCTATTGCAAAGTATTTTTCGTAGTGATGTTATCAAAAAATTAAGACGGGGACAAGTTGAAGGACAAGTGACAACCAAATCGGGTAAACAGATGATGAGAAAGATAAAATATTTAAATACATGGGAAAACAAACACAAAGATAACGTAATAAGCTGATAAGAAAAAAATATATTTTGCACAGGTAAACTATAATGGCTGTTAAAATTCAAATTAAAAATCATGTCTATACAAATATATTATATTATATATAATATACTATGAATATATGTATGTATGTAAAAATAATGCAGTTTTATTTGCGTGCATGCAATGCATAAAGCTAAAGTCGACTTTATGGCTTTGGATCAGACCATATCGCCAATCAAAATTCTCCTCGACTTCTGCAATTGTATCCGCTTTTCACATTGCATTAACGTTAAATAAGTTCAACAGCAAATGGGTAAATTGCAAATTGTTCAGTGTATGGTAGAATAAAAGAAAGAAATATCGATACAAGAAATTCCTCCATTCGGCTTTAAACGTATTCAAACAAGTGTGTCGCAAATTGATATATTTTCAATAATATGATATTTTGGACGTTCTACAATTTTATTGCAGCCGATTTTCGCATTGAAATTTGACGCTAAGTTATTACATGTAGATGTGAACAACATTGATTTACTAGCCACCATTGTCGGTTTACAAGCCATGGCTGGATGTCGATAATGCAAGTGTATTGGATGTAAACATAAATGATATCTTCTTCACCGTTTCAAAGAAAATGTTTACAATTAAGTATTGAGCGGGCATGTGTACAGTAAACAACGCATGTTATGCAAAGAAACRTTTACCCAATCAGATATTTCAGTTTGCATAGTCGCATATTTGATTTTGATTTGTTGTCATGCAGTTTTTGTTTGTTTTTAAAGAAATAAATAAAATATACGAKTTATTTATTGAATCAGTAATCATTTAGTTAGTAATACCGCGGGTATTTTAAATGCCATTCAATTGTTGCCGAATCGAAAAACAGAACCCAAATTTATTTAACAACATTTAGAGTATTTTTAAAATGTATCAAAATTTTCTATTGTATCCAATATAAAATAAGGGTACTAATTTTTTAAAAAAAACTTTATGCAAATTATGTGTTTTAAAAATACACTCGAACTGATAACGGCCTAATACTACACCCACGGTATTTAAAGATTATTAGAATATATATGTCTGTTATTTCTTAATTTACTCACCTATATTTTCCATAGTCAGTTTTTGTTTCAACTACCGGTTTACGTGGACTGTTGTCAAGTTCCAAATTTGATGGTCGATGCAATTGTCCGTTACGTGAATCTGAGAAAAATTTTAACAATTCGTTTTATTTTATTATATTATAGATATCAATGTCAATTAGAAATTACCGATATTTCTAGCTGTATTGGCCTCATGATAAGTAGCTCTGACCGGACTTTGACGATTAAGATCGTTGGGACCTGAAAAATTTCGATGGTCGTGGTTGGTGCGGGCATAGTCCACACCCTTAGAGCCAATGCCAACTGGTGGTAGCGGACGACTTAAAAGAAAAAACGTAATACATCTTAAATACTTCAAAATACAAACTAAGCGAAATATTAATACATATTTGATTTATACTTACTTTGCATTCGGTACTGACTTAAGATCATCGGGAGCATTCGGCCCAAGCCTGCCTAGATTTTGTACAGTTAATTGCGAAGCATTATAAGAATCATAACTGGACGTACTATCGTACGAATTGACATTTGGCTGTGTGGCTTTGTTGCCAATACTTGGTTGGGTAGATATGGCTGCATTGAGAAGTGCTTGTCGCTCTAATGAAGAGTGTTGGCGATCGATTGAGTCGTTAACATTGCGAGAGATGTATTCAGCTTGCACCTCGTCATTGACAATCGCTTTGCCAAACAGACGATCTTGAGCTGATCGGCCCAACGTTCCACCCGAACTATTCGTTCTAGAAGATGGGGGTATCTCTACCAAACCTGGTTTCAATTGACGATCGATACGCGGTGGTAGAACAGGCGCATGTATCCCATACAAAGATTGTGGACGTGTTGAAGGTGTTGTTGAAGGATCGGTCACTCCGCCGCCTGCACCAATTTTACTTGATCGTGTCGCATAAGTCTCATACTTATTGGCTTCAATGGTCTGTCGACGGTTTGAAGGTGAATTAACGGCATGTTCGTAAGGAACCTTATGTTTGTAAGATATTAGTTTAATACGAATATAAGCTTTCATTATCTATTTTCACAATTGAACAAAGTTTTTTAAACATTTTACTGAGTCTAATATTTTTTTTAAACGTAGTATTTATTTTTTACGTAATATTTGATTGAACGTACGAACAGACAAACTTAAATAATTTCCCTGATTTCAAATGTTAGCAAAATATATCACAAATAAATAAATATACGTTTGTATGTGTGCGTAAGAGTGAATGGTTGTATAGATGTATGCCTCTTACCGTATATGGAGGTGGTAGTCCATCACCAACTGTATCTCTATCCCTATCCAAGTTATCCTGATTAGTGGCTATTGACGGATCTGAACTCGATTTAACCAATTGCGGCAAATTGCCAAGGGATAATGATGTCGATGGCCCTGGACTTAATTCCAAATCGGATTCCGGACTCGATGCGTACGATAAACGGGAGGTGGTCATGGGAAAAAGGAAATCATCGGACAGGGACTCAATAGGCTAAGGGTAATTCATAAGGGATATGAAGTGTAAGTAAGTTTGTGGGATATTATTGTAAGACAAGGAAAGCATGATTGGTTTGATCAGTATTTGTATTTGCAAARAGGCGAAACAAAAGTCGCATTTTAAGACGAAAACAAAACAAAGAATGTTTAAAAAGTAGCAATTAACATCAAGAGAGAAACATAAAACAAAAACAAAACATTGCATTACAAAGATAAACGAAATTAATTTAATAATAACATATACATATAATTAATGTATATATATATGTGTAGCCGAGCAATGATCCAATCAAATCAATTAACGTCAACCGAAGCCAGACGAAGGACAATACGAGTAAGGAATAGAGGTAAAGTACATTTCATATTTATTGGGATGTATTCAACAGTAAGGGATTAATAAAGCAGGGAAATGACCATGATGACATTTTCGTAATGAGTTTCATTAACATGGGAAAAACGAAATAGAAATACAAAAACATTTAGTTAGCAACAGTGTGATAGAAACATATATGTATATGAAGGTATGTATGTAAGTATGTTTATATAAGCTTAATAAATAAATAGTACATTATTAGAATTTAGTTCGTTCAACTACATACCACATATTGCACATATGTATGTATAATATATTAAAACTGCCGAAAGTACATACAAGCGTTATTCATTTTAATATACTTATATAATACATATATCATAGTAGAAAACCGATTTTTTAATGTCTTCAAAAAGCAAATTTACGAACTGGTACACTTACGAGCATTTATAATAAATATACATACATAYATATGTATGTTAACATAACTTGGACTTAAAACTAATAACAAATTTGTATATATTTACATTATAAATTAGACGAACAAATCACAAACACACATTGTAACGGATTCCATGCGTAGGGAAAATTCTTGACACTTTGTACCCATTCTTACATACATATGYACGTATGTATATATGTATGCAGCTAAAATGGGCATGCAGATGAAAAGAAGTAACTGTACGCCTGAAATACGAGTCGCATTTGAGATCATAAAACATATGTGTTTGGAACAAAGTGGTTTCTTACACCATTCATAATACGTGCAATTACTTCAATTCAAATAAATTAGTATTAAATCTCATGCCATTCATTCATTGCTACTGCCAAAGTTATTATTTGATTCATCAGAAATTCTGCGTAATTTGTTGTTTGTGTTGTAGCTATTCTTGTTGAAGTTGTGATAATGCATGCTAGCTGGCGATGAATTTTTAATTGAGGAAGCGGAAGGAGGGTTTAAAGTGGAAAAGTTTCTAGCAGCCGGTGTTGGGATTTCACTCTTTTCTACTTGTGCCTCAGCGTTATTAATATTATTTAAAATGTTTTTGGATGAATTGATTACACTATGGGCTGTTAGTGGCATGGACACCTCAAAGTTACCGTTCAGATTATCCTTCCCGTTTCCTCCGTTGTTGTTTGTTATTGTAGTACTGGCGGCCATGTGTATTTGTTTATTAGGTTTACTGTTTGCAATTAAATGGGAGTTGTTTATGCCAATTTGCGAAGCTAAAGGATTATTACTCATAACACTTTCGTCAACTGACGATAATGACACAGGCTCCACTGATGTTTGAATCGTATTAGATTGATCGTGTTTTTTGCTATTGAAATATTCATATGTGTGATTTCCCTCCTTCTTCGTATCGCTTAGTAAATTTAACTTTGAGTCAAATATAGCTGGTTTATGTATGAGCTCGTTATAGTAGTAGGCAGTGGTTCGTGGTTCGATGGTATGCGGCGTACGTCCAATATTTCGGGAGGATGCATTACAAATGGATCCACTACTTCTGGCATTATTTAGATTACCCTCACAGCTATTGATCATTGAGAGTCCATTAATAGTAGAGGTTATATTTTCTATTGCGATACTATCATGACTTCTAGTGCTTTCTTGATTTAGCTCATCTGATGGACCTAGTAAATTTGGTTGGGAGGTGTGGTACTGTGATGTTACTTTAACAAGGGATACATTATTGATGTCATTCGAAAAGTGCATACCCGAAGACTTTGTGGCTAAACCACCAGGCATAGATGAGGATGGCTTTATAATTGGCACTACTTTGTAAAAGCAATGTTGTTGTTTTATCTTACCGACTGGCGTATTGGGTATGGAATTATAATTTATTTCGTTTCGTAATGGTAGCGGGCGTGGTGGTGTTAGAGACCTTTGGTACGTTAATAGTGAGAAGGAATTCCTGCGACCAATGGAACAACGGGCTACTGAAGATGATGAAGGGCGACAGCAAGGGAAGTTGCATGGTGGTGCGATATGTGGAGGGAATATCACTTCATTTGGGGACTCTGGGAACTATGGGATTACGGAGGAATGTGAAAAATATTCGAATTGTTAAAATATTAATAGTTACCTCCACCAGTTAATATATATAATAAATTAATTATATTACGTATAGTCAAACAAAGTACAACATTATAAAAATATGTATCGGTTTGTATTTTCCTAATGCTAGATTCAGTTATTAGGGTAGACTAAAACTTGCAATAGTAATTGAAAGTGTACTCTGATTATTTAATTTTATAAATATTGTGTTCAAAATATTCGGCATTCAAAATTTTTAATGTAATTTTTCCACTTTTAATTTTCATAAACAAGTTAAGGGGAGTTTGCTATTTTTAATTTGACAATAATTGTATGGCTCAGCTAACCAAAATGGCACAATTAGTTGAGAATTTCATAAATATATTTTTTACTTTTTGATGATGCAATAGCTCCTCGTCAGAAGATGGGGGTTTTTGATTACAGATACCTATTTTTACTTCGATGGAAAGTAATACTTTAGCTATGTGAATTATAAGGCGATAATTTGGTTCTCCGGATACTCATTTACAGCTCCGTACTAGCAAATCATTTGAATTAACTTATTAAAACTTAAGATTTAATCGTTTTGGTTAGTAATACATCCATACATTCGTATTTGTATTCATAAGCACGAGACAGCTTGTAAGTATCGTTCTTTCAAAACACCAATTATRAAGTCATTACAATCCTTAACCAAAATATAAAGATCTACTATGAAATTATTAGTAAGTGAGTCATATTTTTCAATATACAACTGCATTTAATCGCTAAATCGAGGAATTTCCTTGCAAGGCATAAAATCGGTTTAAAATTATATATTCTCTGAGTAATTAAGCACAATCATATATATGTGTTAAGCTATTGTATGATTGCTACATAAATTTTGTTGTACAAAAATTATTAAAATATTGTGAATGACCGCTAGATCYTCTTACCTTCGACTCAGACATCCACACCGCTCCACTTTGCTGCAGATCAATTGCATCGCGTAGCTTTCGATACCATGATTCCTCATCGTTTAATACAATCTGGGTGCTAAATATATGTGACCAAATACGTTCGAGTTTCTGACATTGTTCTAGCAATTTTTTCGAGCTCTTGTGTGCCGATTTAGGCAGTCCATGTCGCAATTGTTTAATGACATGTTTACTGTCAGTCTTCAAAAATATAACAATCGGATAGAATTGCGCATAGTTTAGGCGGTCAACCGCATTCGGAGTTATATCCAGTAGGGCATGTTTGCCGCGATCCATTATATCCCGTATATTTGACAAGCGCACTATTCTACATTTTGAATTCGACTTATCATCATCTTGTAGAGGTACAGAGAACTTGTCGCGGTAATCTTTAGCCAGCTTTTCACGTGCTAAATCAGAGACTGGACCAAAAAGTACAAGCGGTCGAACGAATCCGGGATGGCGCAAAACAACTCGTTCGTATGCAGGAAATTTTGATATGCTATCGGCAAAAACAACGTCATCCCAATTTTCTCTAGAAAGGCTCTTTGAACGGCGTTGAGTAGATCTATTATATACATAAATTGTATGTTAAAATCCTAAAAGTATAGTATATTCTAAAAGTACTCATAAAAATCCGTAAAAGTATAGTAATTTCTTAGAGTATTCACATATAGAGCSTTATTATGAATGAGATTCAATATTCGCTAATCGAATTAATGATGGAATCGAAAATTGAATGTTCAAAAAATGTTATGAAGTGCGTTGTGCGTCACCATTTCAGTCGAACAGAAATTTGTTTTGCTGCTATTGTGTTTTATTATGAGCGTCAATGAAACTTTATTTTTATTTATTTTATGYAGGCAATGAAAAAAGTAAACGAAAATTGGTTAGAGCTGCTCTTTATGTGACAGTTGAAAGTCGATTAAAATGTATAAAAGGCTAGGTTAGTTTAGGTGAGCTTATATTTTATAGTAATAAATAAATATAAATTTTTAAAAGTGAATTTTACCTCCTTCTTCTAAAGAAATTTCCGCGAGATTCATTTGAATTCATTTCTTTTTTGTTTGCATTGAATTGTGCAGTTGCCAATTCTTCAGCTCGGGATTTATTAGGGATAACACCGCGCTGCATCTCTTGGTGTCCTCTACCTATTTTCAGTACTTGCCATGAGCCAACAACACCATTGTGAAGTGTATCAATTACACGAAAAACGTCTCCGGCTTTGAACGCCATCTCACCTTTYGAAGGATTGTCGCAGTGAAAGTGGGTTTTAATATGAAAAGAATCACCACGCTGATTCGTCACCACCTCATCATAGTCATCCTTGCAAAATTGCACAATTAAATCGATCCGATCTTGCAAGCTGAGTAGAAAAAGAACAGCTTCTTCACGAGTTACGCCTTGCATATCCATATCATTGACTTTAAGGATCTTATCTCCAGGAGAAAGTCCCTGCAAAGATGCTGCGGAACCAGGTTGAACAGCCGTAACAAATATTCCAGATTCGTTTCCACCCGTCAGTCGTATTCCCACGCTTCCCTCTTTTTGGAAGGATATAAATCGTGGCTCCGACGATTGTCGTGAATGTGCCATTTGATCTGACTCGAATACTTGTCGACGTGTACTATAAAAGTCCTCTGTGCTTCCATTACCATTGACACGAGGAGGAGGCGGTCGCGGCGGCTCATCGCTTCGTGCACGGTTACTATTTGGAGGAGTTACTGGACGGTCGAGCTGCAAGAGTGAAACACCATCCATGATAGGGCCACGTGAACGACCCCTTGGTGTCAGATTACTTTTTTCCTCATTTATTCCATTTGCTGCACCATTCATCATCGAACGAGTCGGCGGTTGTACATATAAATTCTGAGATGAGTAATTTGCACCTCCCAAATATGGATCATCCAAATTATTACTGCAGTTGGAACCCTGTGCTTGGTGGCTAATATATAAATTCGATTGTGTTGCTGAATTATTTAACTGATTGGTCATTGCTGTTACCGCCTGATTGGTGATGTCGCGTAAAACCACCAAGTTTAAACGCTCCTTACAGGCATCAATAATTTTTTTTGCCTCCTTCAAATTCATTGTGTCTCCACAATTTGTGTTATGTATTCTCGTAACTACATCACCTTCTTGCAGCGAATAGCCATTGGCCGTTAATTGATCACGCGCTCTCGTTGAAATTTCTTTGATGAATAATCTGCAGCCAAGCACAATGCCAAAGTCGTCCTTTTTGCTCCCTTTTGAGAGGGTAATTTTGATGGGTTGCGCTGCATTATTTTGCACAAAAGCGGTATTCAGCGAATTCGGTGGACTCATGGTGTTAGGTATCGAACCCACTGGTTGAATTGGTGCGCCGCTTACATTCGACGCAATTGCCCCTACCGAGCTCATGCTATGGGAATGATGATTCTGTGCGATGGAAGTAATAGGCACACGCCGTTTAACCACAAGCGCTACGGTGTTGCCGCTATCCCTTAAGACTTGTACAGCAGTGGCATATTCAACATTTTCTAAAGACACTCCATTCACCGATATTATACGATCGTTAACTCTAAAGATAAATAAATTAAATTTTGTATCATTAAAGTTAAGCATACAAATGTAATATGTAAGAATATGTATCTACACAAATTTACATGCTTTTAGATAAAGAATTTTGCATGAAAGCTCATGCAAGCAGAAGTAATTATCACCTCAGGCAATATTATTGGGTCATCGAAGGTTTAGTTGATCAAAGAATAACTAATAGTAATTTTCTCAAAACATTTTTACACTCTTTCATATGTATGAGGAGTAAGTGGCAGAAACTGATGTCAATTAATATACTTGGGAGAGTATTAACACTTAATATTCTAGTTTATTAAGTTTAGTTGGAAAAATTTAATTTGTGTCTTAAAGTAAAATTTGAAAGAATTTAAAATAATTTCTAATGTGGCTATTTCTATGTATAAATTAATTTTTAAATAGTTTTTATTAATAAAAGCCATGTTTCCAACACTGTGACATAAAAAATTATAAGGGGGTTCCCTAAGTTTTATCTAACCATTTTGACCTTCTCAAAATATATGGTAATATTTGGAAAATGAGATTTACTAACAGGAAGCCCTGCAATTTAAAAATCATCTTATGATGAAAAAAAATGGACAAAGAAATTCAATGAAAATAATTTGCTTAAATGAATTAATTCGATCTCTATTGATTATATGAGTAAATTTTATATATACTTATTCCTTAATTTGGTTTTTTTTTTTTTGAAAGGTAGTATCGAAAAAACTTTTTGATGTTTAATGGAAGCCGGGATGACACCCATGATCTAAATAATGACACCTGCATATTTAACTAAAGAAGCATAGCATACTGCTTTACTTTTACTGCTTTTATGTCATACCCAACTTTTAGCCATTGCTGATGCCGATTAAACAGTCGGACACTACATAAAACATGTTATATAAACAATGAAGTAGAGAGTATATTTTATTTGACAGTCTGTCCAAACTCTTCGAAATATAGGGTTTCACAATATTTTAGTTTGTGGAAATATTTAAGGTTAGTATCAACCAGATGACTTTTCAAAGATTTTTCAAGTTAATAATTTGTGTTAGACAGTTAAGGACGCAGTTAAAGACCTCGGAAAATCTGGGTACACTAATTATTAACGAAAAGCATATTGTATAGAATCTGCTGCTCTGTTGCCAAAAAATCTGCTTATTAGAATAGTGGTAAGTGATTTTCCCAAGTCACAACTGAACTTACTAAAGTTAATACCAGACACTTATATATACATACATATATCTACAAGTGAAATAATTCTCATAGCTTAAACTTGCACACGTTTATTCATTTCATATTTACACATTAAGACCAACATTTCAATACAAGCATACTTTATATGTACACACATTCATAACTCTATCAAAGTATATTTACCGTATTTTGAAAGATTTAAGATAATACAGAAATAATAGAAAAGGCAAAAGTCAACCATGTCAACCATCGTGACAAGGAACAAAATATAAGAAGGTTGATTGTTGACTATGCAGCTCTATATATGTATATGTAAGTATTTATATATTTTATATTAACTTTAACTGGCATACTTATTATTTATTTTTTATTTATTTATTTAAAAGAGAACTAGTTATAAATAATTAATCCACTTGTAAGAATCAGCACTGGCTACCAGGCCCTTCGGCTCTTAATACTAAGATTATGGTGAAAAGAAAATATTTGGTAAGGTTATTTAGTTTTATGTGGTGTTATATGTCTTTGATGTTACACGGTTTAAGAAATTTATTAATGGCACTGTTGTTATCGCTATTTGTTGCTTTGAGAAGGTCGGAAGGTCTCTTATTCCCAAAAGTTGATTTCCTTAATAAATGCAGTGTAGGACATTCATCAATGAGGTGAATGACTGATTGGGTGGGAGCGTTGCAATGGTGACAGCTTGGTTGATCGGTACCGTTAAGAATATGGCTGTGAGTTCTTGTAGTATGGCCTATTCTAAGACGAGTGAACGTCTTGATATTGTGGCATGAGCAGTCCGATGGGTAGATAGGTTTTACACCAGTTGGGTTTTAATGTTGGTAGCTAGTCCAATCTCGGAGATGCATATGATGACAGTATTTTTTTATATGTTCTTTAATGTCTTTAGTAGTAAAGTGAGGAAAGAACACCAACGGCTCTCTACTACCTTCTTTTGCATGTTTATCTGTTGTCGCATTGCCTTTTATACCAGCATGCCCTGGTACCCACATTATTTTTATGCTGTTTTCATGATGGAAGAGTTTGTCGCGTATWTTCTGTATTAGCCATGAATTATTTTCTGAGTTTTGAAGTGCATCAATGGTTGATTTACTATCGCTACATATTATATGTTTTCTCCTGTTGATGAGGCGAATAGAACCGCTTCGTAAATTGCTGCAGCTTCTGCTGTAAAAACCGAGCAATATGTTGGCAAAGCACCGACAGTAATAGTGACACCCTTATCGTTTGACACTGCAAACGTGGTAGTAGTATCCGTTTTTGACCCATCGGGTTCCCATTCTGGTTTATAAGACTCAATAGCATCGTTGAAAAGCAGAAAAAAATCGTTGGAGCTGGYTTTTAGTTTCTGGTGCTTTGACAGAGTGTTTATAAATGTGGATGGTCAGGCTCGACGAGTAATTCGGGTGTGGATATTAGATTGAGGTCGTTGATCAGGACTATGCATTGCATGAGGGTGGACTGTTTGTTCGATGCATTCATCCTAGTTGTAGACGTCTCGAGGATGTTGAAAAAGGTTTTGCTTCTTTTATGGAGAATCCTAGGTAGAAGTATCATGGTATTATATTTAGTTCTTTGCTGGATGCTCGGTAGGCCTGCATCGGCTAAACGGCTAAACGGCTTTGATCGGAGAGGTGGGGAACACGCGTATGCTTCTTCTTAATGCTGTGTGGTAAGGCGCTTGGATGCATGCAAGGTGAGATTTTGCGCAGTGACCATAATCGCGAGTCCAAAATCAATTTTTGATAACATCAGTGCTTTTATAATATTTACAAGATTTGACATATGTATATGATAGTGCTTAGATGATAAATACTTAATAATGTGAAGTCTAGATATTCAATTTATTCTAACATATTTACAATGTTCCTTGTAAGTTAGTTTTTTATCGAAAATTACACCAAGTATTCTGAGTGTGAGGAATTTGGGTATTAGAAAGGGATAGGATAGGAAAGATGCATTTTGTTTTGTTGAACCKTTTGTTAGCTGAGATTTTACATCCAGAAATTTTTGACCAGTTGGATATGTCATCTAGAATTCTAGTGAAAGTTTCTGTCATTAGTGTAAGGTCTTTGAGAGCGGAAAATATTAGAACGTCATCAGCGTACATTAAATGCTCAACCGTGTCGTATTGGGATAATAGGGAGCTGATTTCATTAAAAGCAATTATAAATAAGGTAACTGAAAGAGGGGAGCCTTGTGGCACGTCGTTGTGCAAGGGGTACATGTTAGAGTTTTGACTATTTACGCTGACAAAAATTTTACGATTCAGGAGGAAGGCTCTTCTAATTCCCGTAAAACAGCTGAAGTCCATGTGGAAATTAGAATTATGAGAAGCATTAGACCATGAACTTGCAAAGTGTTCAGCAATCTCTTTGGGGTCATAGATAGGGTCTTGTGTAGAGTGGATAAAATCAATTTTATGGTGTTTAGATGCGCCCGACGGAGCTCTTATATCCGACCAAACCTTTTTAGGACTAGAGGCAGGCTTTATGTTAGCTGTAAAATTTACAAACGATTGTCTTTTTGCATTTTTTAATTCCTTTCGAAAAGTGTCATTGGCTTTTTTGTATTGTATTAAGTTGTTGATTGTTCGGTTGGTGTTTGTAGCTAGCCCATAACGTTTGTTTTCTATTTCTTAACACAGATAACATTTAGACCAATATGGAAGCTTTGTGAAAAACTGTTTAGTATTAGTTTGGGGAATGGCTAAGTGTGCAGCTGAGAGTATAACAGATTTTATTGTGGATGCTTCCGCGTTTATGTTGCTAGATACAACTTTTCTAGAATAAAAGAGGAGATAAGTGAACAATACTTAGCCCAATCAGCTTTCTCAGTTAAGAATTTTGCTCTCGCTTTAATGGTATATAAACTGGGAGTAGACAGGGTGGTTACGATGGGGAAATGGTCACTATTATGTAAATTTTTTAATGTCAGGGACGAAAGTTTAGGAGCAATTGAGGCCGATGAAAGGACAATGTCTACGTGGGTGAAAGAATTATGTGTGGAGAAGTGTGTTGGTTGTCCATCATTTAGAACGACAAGGCTTTTGGCAAGTATGGCGTCTTCTAACTCCTGACCTCTGCGGTTTGTAGAACCAGAGCCCCAAAGAGGGATCCAGGCGTTGAAATCGCCCAAAATTATAGATGGTATAGAAAAGGAATCGGCAATCTTTATGATTTCACTGGAGTTAAAATTTTGGTGCGGTGGTATGTAGCACGTAATTACCGAAAATTTAAAGCCTATGTCCTTTTCCACTGCTAGGGTGGTTATGTTGGAGAAAATGGGAATTTGTTTATGTATAACAGATTTTTTTATAAAAATGGCTATTCCTTGTTTAGCTATTTTAATGCGGGGAAGGTTATAAAAGTAACCTACGTAGTTGTTGGGAGTGTAAGCTGATTTATTAGCGGGGAGAAGTGTTTCTTGTAGTCCGATAATGTGTGGGGAAAATTGATTGATAAGGAGATTAAGGTCAGCGTAGWTGTCAAATAGACCTTTCAAATTCCATTGAAGAATACGCATAGTGTATTCAGAACTGAGGGTATCTATTTGTGCGGAGGGTGAGTGGGAGGTTGAGTTGTTAAGGTGAGTAATAAAGGTGGAAATGAGTGGGATCGTTGAAGTGTAGTCGAGAGTCGTCGTGGAAGAGTCATCGACTGCCGTTGAGGTTGGTAATGAGTTTAATGAGTAAATGTTGTTTGTTGAGTTTGGTGAATTTGTTTCTTTTGGCTTTGGTTCTATGTTATTATTTGAGTTGACAGAGGGAGTAACTGTGTGAATTTCAGGTTGGGTTGTTGTTTTCTTGTTATTGTCGTTGTTTTTGTTGGTTGAATTGTTTAATATGTTAGAGAATGAGGGAGATGAAGAAGTAAAAGTTGGTGGAGTTTGCAATTTATGTATGTTTACTGCTTCRCGATATGAGCATTTGTTGTCTGTTTGGATAGTGATTATTTTTTTTATTTGTTCAAATTTCGGGCATTCTTTACTGGAGGATGAGTGATTGCCTGAGCAATTTACGCAAAAGGAACGGGTGCATGGCGGAGGGTGGGGTGGCAAAGCACATGTGTCACATACAGGGGGCTTATTACAACGTTTTTTGATGTGACCAAGGCAAGAACTTGGCAGTTTCTTTGCTAGAGTTGAGATTTTTGTGTAAGTCAATTTTGACGTTGCAAATTCCTAATAGTTGTTTTGTAGACGTGAACTTTTTGGCGATAATGTTGTTTTTCACAAGAAGAAGTAGGTTTCCGTTCCGTAGCTCGCTGATTTTTATTATTTCAGAGCTTATGTTTAATAAGGCTTTATGGATTGCGAAACAGGAGTATTTGTTTAGAGGTTTATTCGTATCTGTCGCACTTACCACCAAATATTTGGGATGGTCTTTTGCTTTTGTTGGTAGAGTGGGGAAGAGGTCAAATTTTGTCAATTTTTCGCTCGAAAATTTAAAGCCTATGTCGATTTCCACTGCTAGGGTGGCTATGTTGAAGGAAACAGGAATTTGTTTATGTATAACAGATTTTTTTTATAAAAATGGCTATTCCTTGTTTAGCTGTTTTATTGCGGGGGAGATTATAAAAGTAACCTACGTAGTTRTTGGGAGTGTAAGCTGATTTATTAGCGGGGAGAAGTGTTTCTTGTAGTCCGATAATGTGTGGTGAAAATTGATTGATAAAGAGATTAAGGTCAGTCAGGTTGTCCTCGACCTTTCAAATTCCATTGATGGAATCGGGACTAGAATCTAACAGGGCGAACCGATTATTTCCCAGTTGGGTCCCACCACGGGACATTTTGAAAAAATTTTACCTCTGGAGCTGACTGTATTGAAAAGTTAGAGAAAACACTATAGAAAGAAGAAAAAGTAAATTGCAAAACACGTGAAACGAATTAGCTCGTAGGCGCGCTGTACAAAGTAGACACCGAAAACACTGAGAGAACAACCGTATGCGTCGAGTGGCAGTCGATGATATGATTATTTTGAGCAAAATATTGACAGGCTCAATTAACCCATTTATTTTTACACATACTTGATCATATATAATAGTACAATCAGTTCCCAAAGAAAAAAGTTAACTAGATCGATGAATGTACGTATAATAGATAAAAGGAGGGCATCAATTTTTGTAATTTTTGTCGGTTTTTCTGCCATGAACGCAGCTGCTATCACTTCTATTCCATACAATTTTATAATTTAAATGGAAAGTAACTCTACCCGAGAACCTTTTTAAGATTGCTTTTTCGGTGGAGTATCATTCCTCCGTTTATGGAAAAGTATTTCAAATCAAGGTAAACATGTATTATTTATCATAACTCTCCATACTTTGAAAAATAAGAGGAGAATTTGTACCGGTTCAGCAACTTCATTCTAGACAATTCAACGACTTAATGGTTTCAGAATTTTTTAAATCTATTTGTTTGTTTTGAATTGGGTATTCCGAGCACGTTACTTTGGAACTAAACTACTACAAAGTTGAACAAAACAAGCCTTATCAAAACCTACGCCACATTTCGAATAAATTTTAACCTGAATTTAAACTAGGAAAGTTTTACGTGAGCGTTTATTTATCTATGACTAATTACGTATTCCAGAGTCACTTAAGTCACTAAGTGTCGAAACGCTGGCGAACTGACAAACATCTACTCGTGTACTTTACCATAGTTATCTGATTCGGTTAAATAAAAATATATAATATTTCAGTTAAAAATCTCGCTATACCAAGTAAGTATTTTTTCTAAACTTAATTAGATAAGAAGAAGTGCGGAGTTACGAATGATTTATGTAATTGTGGTTACTTTTTTCTAAAAGTATTTATAGAAGGACTAAGGACTAGAAGGACTACTACCGAAAAGTGATATATCCCGATATTCCCTAACTTTAACAAATTCAGAGTTAAATAGAGATTATTTTTTGATATTGATATCATTTCGTGAATATTTTGGGTTTACTAAACATTACACATGTAAATAAGTGTATAAAAAGAACATTTTGCTGCACAACACATCACTTACTGCAAACGATCCTCTGCAGGACCACCCTTTAGAACGTCGCTTACAGCTATAGATGGATCACCATTGGCGAAATGTGGGTTGTCGCGACCGCCTGAAACTGCAATACCAAATCCATATCCCGGAACACGTGTCACAGAAACGGTGTGGTATTCCCATGTTGTACGATCACCCTGTGAAAATAAAAAACGATGATAATAAATATTAATAGATTCATAAAATTATGAACAGACATACACATTTACACATGTCATAGCGGCTCAAAAATGTATGTGGGACTGCATGTACAAAAGAACGGAAATGCATGGCTCTTCCGTTAAATAAAATTAGCAAGTAAGGAAGAGCTAAGTTCGGGTGCAACCGAACATTTTATACTCTTGCAACTTGCAAGAATCAAAGCCAGGAAAATACTTTAAAGTAAAATCAGACGGATGTTTGAAAATCTTCATATTAGTTATACTATATAGGGGCTAGGCCAAGTTTTCGCTCAAATTTATCTGTTTTAGACACAAAGATACACTGTTATGAACAAACTACGCTCTATTATTCACATTGGGATAACTCACATATTGGCCGATATATTCGGTTCAAAATCACCCGGAGGTTCGAAAATCTTTATATTGCGTATATGGGGGCTAAAGGAAGTATTGGTCCGATTCAACCAGTTGTATATATCACACAAGGACCGACGTTTTCGATCGAAAGTCAACTATAGGACCGGGGTCTAAATATTCGGTGCCTAGGAGCTTGAACAGTTTTTATTGGATTTAAACAACTTTTGGTCATAAGGTGGCATACACTAAAGACATTATTCGTGCAAAGTTTTATCCCGTTATAATTATTGATTCTTGATTTTTGTACTGGAAACTGAACGAATCAAGTGGAATTTAAAATTGTGCTTGTGGGAAGTAGGCGTGGTTGTGGCCCGCTTTCGTCCATTTTAACAATGTGACATACTAAATTTTGTCGAAATCGGTTTGACGAGTTCCGTTATATAGGATTTCACGAAAAAGTGGGCGCTGCCACGCCCGGTGGTAAATTTTAAAGTCTCTGGCGTATTTAATTATTGCGTTATATGGGCAGTGAACGGGCTTATATTCCAACTTTATCCATTTTCACACTATCGGTATACGTTCTTATAAGATTTRTCTTTAACAAATTTGGTTTGTTGTAGCTAAAGTTTTTTAGGGGATATGTGCATTAAACTTGTTAGTGGGCGGGGCCACACCCACTTAAAAAAAAGACACAGTTTAACGCACTGTTCAAAATGAACTCTTCTTTCATATATATCGATTGTTTATTATTAAAAAAGTAGAGAAAAATATTATTAWAATATACTTAGTAAATACCCGTTTCACTTTTAAAATGGAAACTCCAATATTTTTAGCTTTCTTGCTATTTGGGAATTTCCAAAGTCTAAATATGATATACATATTTCCAAGAAAATTTTCCGTTGGACCGGCCAGGGTCCAACTGTCAGTGCAGAAAGTAGTTCAACACAAAAGAACTATGGTTATTTTTTTTGAAGCTCGGTCGAAGGCCGCCACTGCAGAAAAAGAACAATGAAGATCCCGGTGTTGGACCGACCATGGTTATTTTTTTTAGTAATCAAACAAGAACTATTGTTCCTACAACGTATATGTTAAATAGAAAATTTTTGGATTATTTTTTTCAAAAAACCAAAATGTGGCAACACTGGTATTTGTCATGTCATGTAAACAAACCAACTATAAGAGTGAATTGCATATAAAATGGTGGAACTTTAAATACAAAGATCTCGAAAACTATAAATCTGAGGAGAGTATACATATGTGTATACATTTTTTAACCCTGAGGACCTCCTCTTTCCGTCCATACCCTGAAATCGCGACTCCAAAAGAGTCGTGATCATGCCATTTATATATAAATAGCCCTATATCTATTACGCTTACTTTTAGGTGATACGTACAACCGTTAGGTGAACAATGCTATAAAACTCTGCAGCATGTTATATTTTAAATAATATAAAATATGTAGTTCTTTCAAACGGTACTCTAGATGTCAAGCCAAACCATTAACAATAACACATTTCGGCCAATACTATCTTCAATAAGTACGTCTTATAGAATACTACATACATGACATTGTTGTTAATTGCCTGACGACCATTCTTAGGTTTCAGAATCAATTCGAAGCGAATTCATCATGGCTGATCTCGCATTAGCAAAAGAGTAATTCATTCTTGATACRAAAGAAGAAATCGTAAGCTTATCTTATTGTAAACCAACTAGAATTGATAAAGTTTTCTAAAAATATCATAATAAGTATAAGAGTTAATATGATATCGTCTCACGACAATCTCACTATATAAATTTTATAATTTATACAGAATACCAATTGATATTATTGTTATTATTTTCAATAAAAATTTCATTTTAGATGCTATGTCAACGGAAAACATATTTACCAGACGCAATAAAGAGGTAATTATGCTTACCACTATATTATTCGGGATATAGTCTGGGAATTTCATTTTCATGGAATACGAATGTTACAGCTGAAAAGGCGCCGAAGACCAATATTAGATTTATCACTATTTTATAAATTTAGTGTTGCATGTCCTAAGAAGATCTCACAAACAAATTGGATATTCACAAGGATTTATTCTCAAATGTCTTTACATTTATGATGATAAGGCAAATGCCTGTTTGACCGACAGAAATATCTTCATATGTAACATAAGCAATTAAATATTAATTAATGTATTATTATTCACTTAAGCACTATTGTGTGTTAATAAACTATATGTGTTTATTTTGCAATATTTTTATGATAAAGTTGCTATTCGGCGAAGAAGAATGCGTTTTTGGCAAATATACGCGCAAAAAAGCCGCCTGGATAAAATACAAACTTATGCTCACACATTGAAAGCCGATACGAAACTAGACGACTCGCTTGGATGGTGTGTGGATTGAGCACACAAAACGTGGCTCGGCGAATCGTCCGACTTCAGAGGCAAAAATAAAGAGAACAAATTATTTATATGTGTGTGCATATTTGTGCGCATTGACAAATGCATGCTTGTGTGTTCGTGCTTATTGTACAAGTATTCATACATATCCAAGCGAATGCACTCGAAAAAGGAGTATAGAAAAATAACGTTGAGGAAACAGTACCCACATACAAGTACACATGTACTTAATTCCGTAGAATGAAATGTAAACAAAAATGTGAATAAAAACCAACAAACAAAGTGATTCTGAACCGATCCCGCTTCATTCCTGCACATGTATCTTCGACATTATTCCTACAAGTCGTCAGACGTTGCATACATATGTACATACATACTTTGTGTATATACGAATGTTTGTGCTTGAAAATACCTACCGACAATTGTAAAATACCAGTGTTGGATATTGGATTTTATGTGCATTTGCCTATATTAGTATGAGCACTCATATACATTGACGTTAGGGTACAATGAGGGCCAAAGAAGTAGTCATTCCACATTCTTCAGCGAAATAAGCTTGGGTTAGTTACCTTGTGCAAGTGTGTATGTGCAACGATTAATATTTTGTACTTTTTTCCAGTTTTTTAAAATACAAGAATGTATGTATGTACATATGTAGGTAGATGCATATTTATAGATACGCAAATATAAGAAAATGTATTGATTTTACTTAAAAAAATTTATAAGCAGTGCTCGTTTTTCTAAATGGAGGTTAAACTAACATACATATTTAAATATATGCACATACCATGTGTATACGTCGGATTTGTTGCATATCCATGCATACATATGTAAATGTATATACATGCTATGTGCATATAATATTCTTGCAAGTATATAATATTTTGTATTGTATCTTTAGTTATTAAATACATTATTCATCCGTTGAACCCAATATAAAATTTTAATGAGCTGGACTCGCATGTCAGAATGGTTAGATATGTATATGTATGTATACTAATAACATAAAATCAAATTTRAAACCTTTTGGAAAACTCCTACGCGGTAGATTTTAAAATCATGCATCTCAAGCATTCGTCTCTCCTTGTTTCTTAGTAGAAGCTAAACAGCAAAGTAAAAGTAGGTTGAAACGTCAAATGGTCAAAACATCAAAGGCACCAATTTTTGCGCAACACTTGAGGCTATTCGTCAGGCGTCAACGCTGTCAATTGCATATGGGTGCATTCATACTAGTCACAATATAAACCTTCACATGCCAATATATTTACTCATTTTTGAATAGACACTTGTATACATTGAATGAAAGCGAGCTCAGAAAATAAACATCGAGCTAAATGAGAGTGCTTAAGTGTATTTTTGAAAACATACGACCACCCTTCACTATATTTTTACAAATATATCCATATAAAATATGTGTTAGTTTAAACGCACTTATGGTTGTGTCACTCACTGGATTACGCTCAATAAAGCGTATATCTTATTTTATGAGTGTATTTTATTATTCAAATAACATAGTGAAGCTTCGATATAATGCATTCAATATATTCAAAATGTTATTTGCAAATTTGTCAAGCTTTGAGCGAGTAACGTATTTACCATTACAATCTTACTTAAAACCAATTGAATAATATACKAGTGGGACTCATTTAATGTCACAAACTTGTGGCATTTATTGCATACTTCGCCATTGGTAATTACAATATTACATTTCAAATTGAATATTGGTGTTATAAACTGTTTTAGTTATCACTAACATTTCTACAAGAGAGTTTTGACTGGTTTAAGCAGTTATATATGCACAATGAGGTGCTTTTTTAAGTTTTCAGTGCCAATTATAGGCACCCGTGAAAGTATCAACGTAGACCAGCACTCGTGATATCATATGATATAGCCGAGTATATAAATACACACCTGCCTCGATTACATAAAGTTATCATTTTAAAATCAATTGGTGTTTAAATACATATACCGTTTCTCTTTAAATTGATAATTTGTCAGCGTTACTTAACAAAAAATTCAAAACTTTAGCACTTGAATAACAATAAGTTGACTAGAAAGAAAGTAAATACAATTCTCCATTAAAACACTAAACCATTTTCTCGCGATATTTTGACAAACTTTCATGTATATCTACCAATGCAATGTTCGTTTCACTATATTTAACAAAACGTTGATCGCATAAGAAACGGCAGTAAGAACTCTAGCAACATTCTATCTTGTCATAACTAGATTAAATTTGCTTTCGACTGGGTGATCAGGCACGAGAGCGCTTGTTCTTTTAACAATCACAATCAGATCAAATAAAAATCCAATCAAATACTGCTAGAGTCAATGACGGTGCGCCAAACGATGCTATAAACTCGTCCCGGCGGACTCAACGTAGTCGCTTGAAAATAAACCAGTTTAGCCATGTTGCCAAACGAGATGCCTTTAATAAATTAATATTGTTGAACGGAACACAGATCGAGAAAAAAATCGAATCGTTCTTCATTACCTTCTCACTTTTAAAATCGTGTGGGATGGATAAAATGAGAACATACATGCGTAGAAATGCTGATTTTAAGATCTAAAAGTAAATATTTTAATTAAACAATTCAAGTTCGTTTCTTTAGTCTTTAGTGTCTAGCTACATTAACTGCTTTAAAAACATGCGGCAAGAACTTTTCTGATTTTCGTATTCTTGGGATTTTAACAATTGAATTTTTAGCCCACATAATTTCATTATTTTAAATGTATGATATGTTACCTGTTGAGAGTCAAGCCGAAAATTATTGTTTGGCAAAGCTAGCTGATTGGTCCCAAAGGAACCGATAGCACTATTCATTATATTTATTAATCACGATGATTAGCACCAACAACTCTTTTGAAACAAGATAGAAATTATTAGTAATTTATCTGTAATTGCAACATAGTGAATATTTAAAATACACTGATTTGGATTCCGTCGGAATTTTACACTAACTTTCTTTTCTTTGTTACAAAATTTACAATAATATAATATGAGTAAATGATTCAGCTTTGCCGTATGTGTGAGTTTTAGTTTAGTATTGGAGAGCATGACAAAAATACGCGAATAACAGGTTAGCAAAGGTTTCCTTTATGATGCAGTAAACAGGTATTTTCACATTTAGGTAGAGGACAGGAGCCACTGGTTTTGCAATATTTATTAAACATATATATAAAATTTATGCATATGAAAAATGTACGTATATACATAATTACTCGAACAATTTCACTTAATCACTATGTATTTATGCACAATATCTCTCCAAAACATGATTTTTAATAATTCTTGGTTTTTTGTACCGTAAACAGATTTCACATTCACTTTTCTTCTACTAATCTTTTAAAAAATCATTAATTTTTTTTTTGTGCAAATGCATTTCAATCACACTATCTTTGAAATAAAAATTCTCTGACAATAGTTGTACCACGTTAACGTTCATGGATGTCAATCAAAAGGCACGAACACAGCAACATTAAGGAAAAAGTACAGATCCCAATGTTACAATACAGGTAGATACTATTCTACTGCAATGCAACCCGCTTTGCACTACACCTTACTTTTTTCGACGGTGCTTTACAATTTGTCCGCTGATCACAACCGTTCGCGATGAAATCTCACATGCTTTTGAAGCTACAACTGGGCTCATGCAAGCGCCTGAATAATGAATTAAAGTTGCTCAAATGCTACAGACGCGAACACACTCCACTGAAATGTTAAGCTACCTGCGACTCGATTTGTTCTCAGACACATTCCAGCGAAGTTAGCGAGCACAAGTGAAGAAAATCAAAAAGGTTCSTATGGAGAACGCTTAAGCCATTGCTTCTTCTGAACAATTGACTTCAAATTCGAATCGACTGGCTAAGACTGAGTTCGACTACAAAACTGCAAAATTGATACTGAATAAAGCAACTACAAATACACAGTGGCACAAGTGCTCTATATTTCATGTGAAATTTTGACATAATGTAAGAAACTTTTATTTAAAAAGTACGGTTGTAAGAAAATGTCGAACTGAAAAAATATTTCCGGCTTTTTGGATCGTGTGAACGAACATCCTGAACTTGGACAGCTTAGTAATGAACTGATTAGTTTTTGCATTATTCAAAACAAACGTTGAACTACAATAGAAAATATAGAATAAATATAGAAAATATATCAGCAAAAAAAATATATATCTAACCTAACTTCTAAATGAAGAATAACTTCATAGATGTTTGATTTTTATGCTGGCAGTTATAGAATCAAATGGAATAAAAAATTGTGTTATATGGGAAGTAGGCGTGATTGTTGTCCGATCTCGCCCATTTGCACACTGTATAATAGGAATGGCTAAGTAATCTCACAAAGCAAGTTTTGTTGAGAAGGATTCAGCGGTTTAGAAGATGTGTACATTAAATAATTTTGAAGGCGGGGCTACGCCCACTTTAAAAAAAATGTCAGTCAAATAAAGAACATTTTTGTAATCAACCTTATCGTAAATTTCGATTAAATAAATCACATCCACTTATTTATTTTATTGATAATTGTTACCAACTTCAGATTTTGTGAACAACTTTCATGGATTCGGGTTCATTTACGAGTAGAGAAAGTTCCCTATAAGAAAAACACAAATTTGTATTCAGAAATCCGCGGGGGATGGCAAATAGACTCCTCTTATACAAGTAGTTGACATCCTTATAGCTAATTTTATCGCAATTATCTTCGACATTAAAATCAATTTTTTGATATAATATTTTTCTTTTCCTCTGTGCTACATGAAAGTCTGATGCTTTATACAAAATAAGAATATATATTCCACAGGGTAAAAGAGTCGCCTTAATATGAACCACCCTAATCTGTATCCTAT